GCCAGCCTGGTCTACAAGAGCTAGTTCCGAGATCAGCACCAAAGCTACAGAGAAACCCTGTCTCGAAAAACCAAAAAAAAAAAAATGGTTTGATAAGAGAGCCAAGAATCAGGCACTTTTTGAAATGATACAGTCTTTATAGACTAACAGTGAACAGCTAGCTGGCAGGATTAATACCACCAAAAATCAAAAGTTAGATGAAAAAATTAATACTATTGAAAATGATAGCATTAATTTTGTTGTAAGTAGGTAAAGGGCTGCATCCTGCCTGCCAGGCTAGCTTACACCTGAAATAACCACACAGAAATTGTATTAATTAAATTACTACCTGGGGCATTATCTCTAGCCTATTATTGGCTAACTCTCGCATCTTAATATAACCCATTTCTTATAATCTGTATAACACCATGAGGTCGTGGCTTACCGGGAAAGATTCTAACCAGCATCAGTCTCAGGCAGGAGCTTCATGGCATCGTGACTCTGCCCTTCTTCCTCCCAGAATTCAGTTCTATCTCCCTGACTACCTAAGTGCTTCACTATCAAAAGGCCAAGGCAGTTTCTTTATTCAACCAATGAAAGCAACATACAAATAGAAGGAACTCCTACACCATAATTTACCAGACAAAATTCAATCCACGTCAAAGGGTACTGAGAAATTATCTAAATAAACTCAGACTGTTGAATTTGACAAGCAAAATCTGTTTAAAAGATATGATGGGTTGGAGTATCTCTCCAGGAAGGCAATCTGCATGCTGTCCAAATAATGTCCAAGGATAAGATGTTATATTTAAAGAAAAACCTTCATACCATGGAGTCACATGTGCAGAATGAGGATCAGAGGCTAGGTGCATCAATGAGATCACTAGAAATATCTACAGGCCATGAGATTCAGGCTTTAAAAAAGAAAAGTAGTAAAAAGACTTGTGTAACGGTGTAAGCGAATGCAGACAGATTGTCAAAATATAGACAGCTTTAATGGAGGAATAGACTTACAGAACCACCGTTCCCGCGGAGACCAGGAAAACAAAAGCGAGCGCTGGGAGCACGCTCGCCAAATTTATAGGAAAACTTTAGCCTGAGGCGAACACGCCCCCTAAGGGGTGGGACTTATCCCTACAGACTTGGAACAATTGAGGAAATTATAAGAGCTGATAAGTAAGGCGAGAAGGTAAAAGGACAGGATTTAGTATCACCAGTATGTGTCAGAGTCAGAGGTGGTCTACCCAGGGTTTTAGCTTCCTACCCTATAATCACCTCTGAAAAAGCATCAAGCTCTAAAGGCTCAAAATGATGCAAAGAATGTAGATGGATACCTATAAGTATGAATGATCTAAAAGAAATTAATTAAGCAGAGTATATTATGGCTTGCATTAACCATTTGTTAGGGAGATGGTAAAGACATGGGTTTCCAGCAATAAGGCTACCCCACACAATTGGCTTGAATTAGTTTCAGCAGTCTTGGAAGATGGGCCACAACTACTAAGGAAATGTTAGGACAAAAGGCAAAATTTTACAAAAGCAGGGAAAAGGAAAAGGACGTGAGACTTCCCTAGATCAAATTCTTAGTGAGGGCACTTATGCTGAAACACAGGCTCAAGCTCTTTATGATGAACAAATCTTGTCCCTATGCCACAAAGCAGCCTTAATACTTTGGACAGGATTCAAGAACCAGGAAAATGAATTAAATCATATACCAGGGTTAAACAGGGCCAGAGAGAATCCTTTAGTGACTTTTTATAAAGACTAACTAAGGCTGTACAAATAGGAGTAACAGACCCAGATGCTAGATGAGTACTTATTGAATCTCTGGCTTTTGAAAATGCCAACTTAGAATGTAAAAAGTTACTTGGGCTTTTAAAGGTCAGATCAGTACCAATGGACGAATGGATCCTGCACACAATGAACATTGAGACATTTGACTATAATACTGAATCTTGGGTAGGAGAAGCAATTTCCAAAGGATTGAAGAAACATCAAAATACCAAATGTCTTAATTGTAGTAGAATAGGACATCTGAGAGGGGATTGCAGACAAAGAATTCTTAGAAATAATGTCTCCTTTGGGAATGGTAAAAATAGAAGATCTCAGCCTTCTGGTTTATGTAGAAGATGTAGTAAAGGTTGACATTGGACTAATGAATGTAGATCAATATGAACAAGGCAACCTGATACCATCAGCAAACTCCTTGGGAGACCTCTTACAGGCCCCCAAGTCAAACGTGGTCCAGTCATTACGAATCACTGTAGAGGATATATCTCACCAGGAAAATTTAAAAAAATCCATTGCCTGCTGTAAAAAACCATACTGTTCCAGATGATGGAATAAACATGAAGGATGAATCAAAATTTCCAATAGGAAATAGGAAGCATATATTTTGGCAGACTTCTATAAATGATCAAAGACTAAACCTAGAAGCACATATAAATAACATTGTAATTGAGGGATTACTAGACATGGGTGTGGATGTAAGAATCATTACTCCAGAATATTGGTAAGCGAATTGGCCTCTTTAAGAAGCAGATGCTCAATTCCTAGGAATTGGAACCCTATCTCAAGATGGGTTGAATGCATAGGGCCAGAAGAATAGAGAGGAAGGCTAAAACCATATGTGACTAATACTGCAGTGAATTTATGGGGTTATGACCTGATGCAGCAATAAAATACCGATTAACATTCCTACAGTCCTGGAAACTCATGTGTCTGGGAAGGATATTATAAGACACTGAAAACAAAAGTCACCAGCCATTCAGGCTGTACAAAAACACATAGTAACTAGCAATCCTTTAGATTGTGACAGCAATCTGAACCAACAGCCCTATCTTTAAAATGGTTAACTGAGAAACCAATATGGGTTAAACAATGGCCTTTAACAGAAGAGAATTTGTAGTCTTTAGAACAGCTGGTACAGGAGTAACTAGATGCTCACCATATTGAAGAATCAGCCAGCCTTTGGAATTCTCCTGTATTTGTTGCTAAAAAGAAACCTGGAAAATGGTTACTGATGACAGATTTAAGAGCTGTCAATAAGGTAATTCAACCTATGAGCCCTCTACATCTGGAACACCTCTGCTTTGTCTATTACCAAAAGGGTGGCCTCTTATAGTTATTGATTTAAAAGATTGTTGAATAGCCTGACCCTGTGCTAATACTTTGTAAATCAGCCATTGGAAATAATATATAAGCAGTTTCCTAAGTCTATAATTTACCATTACATGGATGACATTTTGCTATATGATTCAAATGCAGATACCTTAGAAAGAATGTTTGAAGAAGTAAATAAAGTTTTGCCATAATGGGGATTACAAGTTGTTCCTGAAAAAATACAGGAGATTCAGTCAATTACTTAGCTTATAAAATAGGTTTACAGAAAACTATAACACAAAAGACACAAATTAGGAGAGACTGATTGTGGACTCTTAATGATTTTCAAAGATTGTTAGGAGACATTTCCAGTCTATGACTGACTGCTGGGGTAAAACCTGATTTAATAGTTCATTTAAACAAAACCTTAGATGATGACAAAGACTAAAATAGTCCCAGAGAATTAACAGCTAAAGCAGAAAAGGAATTGATAGTTGTTGAAGAGAAATTACAGGACTTTCATGTTGCTAGGATGGATCTGAATCTTAATTGCATTCTAGTCATATTGCCTTCCAGAATTTCTCCTACAGGAATTTTAATACAGAGAGAAGATATTATCTTAGAATGGATTTTTTAACCAAATAAACCAAGTAAAAAATTAAAAACGTATGTGGAAAAGGTCTCTAAATTATTTATAAAAGGAAAATTGAGACTTCATCAACTATCAGGGGTAGACCTAGCAGATTACTGATGAAATTTTAAAAATTTTGGGAAGACAATGAACCCTGGAAAAGAGTTTGTGCTATTTTTTAGGAGAGATTAACAGCAATTATCCCAAAAGTGACAGAATTAAACTTATAAAGAGAACTACTTGAATCCTTTCCCACACTGTAAAGGACACACCAATAACTGGAGACTGTACCTTTTATATTGATTGAAATAAATCAGGAAAGGCAGGTTACAAATTAGAAGATTTAAGTAAGGTGGAACAAAGCCCTTATAATTATGTCCAAGGTAGAATTATATGCTATTCTCACGGTACAAGGGGATTTTAAATAACCTTTCAATATAGTTACTGATTTTCAATATGCAGAAAGAGTTGTCTTGCGTATTGAAACAGCTGAATTTATACCATATGATATAGAATTGACTTCATTACTCATATAGGTTGAACATATAATCAGGAATAGGGTTTGTTCCATATACATAACACATATCTTATCCCATACAGGTTTGCCAGATCCTCTAGCACAATGTAATGCCGAAATTGATCAGTTACTGATTGAAAATGTGCCAAAGACCTCAGAATTTCATTAAAAAAATCATGTCAATACCAAAGGTTCAAAGAAAAAGTTTCCTATTACATGGCAACCATCTAAGGAGATTATAAAGAGATGTCCTACTTGATCTTTCTATAACCAAACACCACTGCCTGCAGGGGCTAATCCAAAGGGCACCCAAAGGAATGAAATCTGGCAGATCGATGTGTTCTACTTTGAAGATTTTGAAAAATTATTATGTGTGCACCACACCATTTACACTTATTCAGGTTTTCAATAGGCAAATGCTTTGAGCTCAGAAAATGCTAATTCAGTAATCATGCATTTATTAGAAGTTATGGCCATCATCAGTATACTTTCACAAATAGACAGTTAATGGTCAAGCATATGTCTCTAAGAAAATGAAATAGTTTTTTGCTTATTATAATATAAAGCAAATTACAGGTATATCACACAATCCTACAGGTCAGACAGTTATAGAAAGATCAAATCGAACTGTAAAAGATATGTTAAACAAACACAAAGAGATGGAAAATATCCCCAGAACTACACTGCCTACTGCTTTATTAAACTTGAATTTTCTTATCGCTATTGAGAAAGGAACAACAGCAGCAGAAAGACATTGGATAATAGAAAAACCTTCTGAATTAAATCAGACAGTTTATTTCAAGGATGTGTTGACCTCACAATGTAAATCAGGAGATGTGCTACATTGGGGAAGGGGTTTAGCTCTTGTTTCCACAGGAGAAGAAAAGTTATGGATACCATCAAAATTAATAAAGATTTGGTATGAAAAAGAGAAACATCTTGAGAAAGAGAAATGACAGCTCATCCACAAAGGTGACAACTATACAGGTGGCAAGGAAACCTCACAAGGGTTGCAGCAGTATTCTGTTCTTTTCTTTGCAGGAAAATACTTATCTTCAAAACGTTAAGAGACCCTGGACATCTAGATGCCTAAAGAGGAAAACATACATATCCAGATAGGATCACCAAGCAAAAAGAATTATGACTTCTGAGGATAAGAATCACTATATATACACACACACATATATGTGTGTGTGTGGGTGGGTGGGTGGGTGCACACATGCATGCACATGTATGCTACCCAGTAGAGTAATAGTCTGGTGTAGGAGGTACTTCTGTATGTGTGTATCTTTTATTGGTTAATGAATAAAGAACTGCTTTGAGTCTATGGCAGGGAAGAACAGGACTATGTGGGGAAAGGTAGGCTGTATGCTGGGAGAAAGAAAGGTGGAGTCAGAGAGATGCCATGGAGCCACCAGAGTCAGACATGCCAAATTGTTGCTGGTAAGGCACTGCCATATGGCAATATTACAGATTAATAGAAATGGGTTAAATTAAGATATAAGAGTTAGCCAATAAAAACCTAGAGATAATAGTCCAAGAAGTGTTTTAATTAATATAGTTTCTGTGTGGTTATTTTGGTTCTGGGTAGCCAGGATGAACAAGCAGCCCATCCTCCTATAATAGTCACGACTCACTTAAAAATCAAAGCTGGCTTTGGAGTTGTACAGTGGCTCTATCCTTCTCTGAATCCAAGCATGTTGTTATAAGAAAAATTCAGAGTTTCTGTCTGAAGTCAGGAGTCATTTGGTATAGGATAGAAAGAAGAATTTAGAAAAAAGTTTACTTTTCTTCATACCTATTTTTTTCTCTATTATATCTTTCATTGAATATATGTCTGTAGGCCCATATTTCTAAATGGTATGACCTAAAAGAGCTTGGAAAGTTATTCTAGATAAAAAAAAATAAAGTTAAGCATGGCTTCTTAATAACAACATTTTTTTTTCAGGTGGGCTCTGCTTGCTAGAAGCAAGTGCTCTCATTTCAGAGGGGCTTCCTGACTCAGCTTTAGCTGCAAAACCTTGCAACTCTTTTAAGAGGTCCTGTCACAAAACACTTAAATGGTGTTAATAAAAAGCTGACTGCATGGTTTTTGGTGGAATTGTGGCAATAAACATGGTCATGGCCTCCATGGTCATGGCCTCCACCATGAGGCTGAAATTTCCAAAAGCTAAAAATCGGGCTGGATCCAGCTGTCAAAGCCACAGCTTTAATCCTAGCCACATTGCTAAACAAATTAAAAACTCACCTGGTGAAAAAAAAGAGAGATATACAATATAGATTCAGATAAAAAATTCTAAATGGTTTATGATGTATTTAAAAAATATGTGTAGGCTTGAGAAAAATGGATAAAGTCTTTAAAATAAAAAGAGAATAGCTTGGTATGGTGGCACACACCTTTAATTACAACACTTGGGAGGCATAGGCAGGTGGATCTCTGTCAGTTCAAGGACAGCCTGGTCTACATAGTGAGTTCCAGGACAAAGATACACAGAGAAACCCTGTCTCAAAAAGCCAAAAATTAAAAATAAAAATAAGAGTTTAAAATAAGCCATGTAAAATGGAAAACACACAGAGAATCTGGATACTGTATGTTATGCTCTCTTTGAATTGTTTGAATGCTGAGGAAGGAGCAACAGCTGCTAAAAGATATTTGTTTATAAATGCTGCTCAATTAATCTAAGATAGGTATTTTGAAAATACCTTGACTTCAAAATTGAAATCTAAAGATATGTTACGTTGGAGAAGAGGTTTTGCTTTTGTTTCCACAGGAAATGAGAGGCTGTGGATTCATTCTGGGTTAAGAAAAAAATCAGGTTTGATCAAGGAAGACCACGTGAGAAATCTCCATTAGGAGAAATGGCCCAGATGTCTGAGTTCTACATCTAGAACAGATTCAAGACTGCTGCCTGAGATGATCAAACCTCACAGAATTTTCCTGATGGAGGTGGGTCTTGTAATAATAAAGAAACTGCCTCGGCCCTCATAGGACAGAAAATTAGGTGGGTGGAGAAAACAGAAGAGAATTCTGGGAGAAAGAAGCTTAGTGAAGAGTCGCCATGATTCTCCCACTCCAGACAGACGCAGGTTAAGATCCTCTCTGGTAAGCCAACTCATGGGCTACACAGAATATTAGAAATGGGTTAGAACAATATGTAAGAGCTAGCCAATAAGAAACTGGACCTAGCCGGGCCAGGCAGTGTTTGAAAGAATACGGTTTCCGTGTAATTATTTCTGGGTATAAACTAGCCATGCGGGCGGCCAGGTGCCGGGGACGCAGCCCTGCCGCTCCTATTTCAACAGATGGCGCCCAGACGTGATGGGCTAAATCCACTTAAAAACCTGAGAGGGCTTAAAAAGGAGAGAGAGAGAATTTAAGACAGCTTTTTGCTGTTTCTGGGTTGCGTGCCGCAAAGAAATTGTCCTGACTCGGCAGCAGGAAAAAACTGGCTGTTTTAAAATGCCGGCTTTCTGGGCTGTGCCGCCATTGTGATCTCTGTCTGGCTCCGGCGGGAGACAGAGCTTATGAATGGAGCATTTGGATTAAAGTGCTACGATTTGTTTGATGGCAACTAGACTGCTGTGTGCCTAAAAGGGGGACATTGTGTGCCGCAGCTCAGAGGCACAAGCAGCTCCGCCATGCTAATGGTGCAATGTGCAAGGATCAGAGGCACGAGCGGCTCCGCCATGTTGGACTGGGCGGGGCCAGCATACAGTACCTGTTTTTGACCTAGGAATGTCACAGCTTAGATTCTTAAGCGCTTAGTGATTTAAAGGCGCAAAACAAAGTGCTCCTGGATAGTAAAAAAGTTACAGATTCACAATAAAACAGATTCAGACACTGTTGGATAAATGTACGTAGGCTTGGGAAAGAGAAGAAAAAGAATATAAAGAATAAAGTTAATGTCTTAAAAAGAAAAAGGGTAAAGTCTTTAAAGAGACAGAGTACAGAAGTACAGATAGTTATAGATTAAGAGAAATAAAGAAAAATAAGCCACGTAAAAATGGAAAATTCACAGAGAGTCTGGATTATGTACATTGTGTTTTCTTTAAAATTTTTGACTGTGAAGGAGCTAAGTACAGAGAGACATTTCATTATATGGGCTGCCAAGCTAAACCAAAATGGATTTCATGAGGGTATTATGATTTCAGAATTTGGGTCTAAGGATATGATGCTTTGGAGAGGGTCTTCTTTTGTTTTTGCAGAGGATGAGACCCTGTGGATTGCATCTATTCCGATTTGGTATGATAGACCACGCCCTCCTGAAAGGTTGCTGTGAACACCCTCAAAAAATTGCTTCGCTCAATTGCCAACTGAGATGAAACTAGCATACAGGTTATATCATGAACAACCTAATTAACGACGCCCCTATTCAGCAGGAAGCAGTTTGGAGAGAAAAAACTACGCCCATGTTCCCAAATATTGTTTATAAATGTTCTTTTACATTTAAAGGGGGATATGATATAGATATGAATAATTTGCATTGGTATGGATTTTAAGGTCAATTTTGTTATATGTATATGTATTTTTGATCTTGATTAAGGTATTGTGATTGTGTAGTTCATTTAAAAATGTAATGTATAATTAGGAAATATAGGTTGTTAATGGATAATCATCGCTAATAGTTAAGCTTGTAGTCATGTTAATTAGATTTTCTAGATATATAGAGATATATTTCAGTTAGATAGGCATTCTTCATATCTTTCAAAGACTGCAGAATATGGCATTTAAAATATTTTAATAACTTAGGACTTTTCATGACAAGGAGACACGTCTGCTCCTGGCAGCACCAGCTACTTCAAGAGGAAGATGGGCATCGAAGAGGATCCTTATGGAGTTGGATAGTCATTTGGGCAAGAAACTGCTCTTGCCTGGACTGTTGCATAAACTGGACACAGAGAACCCTCAGAGAGAGGACTGCTGAACTTGCCTAAAGGTGAGATGGTCTTTCGGGGTTCCTGATTCATGAAAGAGTCTGCGAGACATTCTGCAGGACACAGCAGAAAATGACTGAACTGTCTTTGAAATTTCCTGCTTCATGGAAATGTCTCTGGATACCATGGGCCTGTAGGCCGAAGATGGATGCCCCAACGGTACAGAGGAACTTTGGGTGACTGTCCAGGCAGCGAGATGTCTCTGTCATTTCTAGAGTTTTCTTATTTCTTGTTTACTTAGATAATATTATATCCTTCTGGAGTCTTTGATGGAGTTGAAGAATAAATAGTTATAGTTTTCCTTAGTTATGATAAGAGATAAAATAGATATAAATATTGTAACTGTAATTCTTACTTGATAACTGTTTTGTTATATGTAATTTTACTATGCTAAAGTTAAAGCCTTTCTTTTTTGTTTAAACGGAAAAAGGGGAAATGATGTGGGAATGATTTCTTACTAATAAAGAAACTGCCTTGGCCCATTTTATTGGATAGAAAATTAGGTAGGCGGAGTATACAGAAGAGAATTCTGGGAGAAAGAAGGTTAGAGGAGGAGTCGCCATGATGCTCCCACTCCAGACAGATGCAGGTTAAGATCCTCTCTGGTAAGCCAGCTCATGGGCTACACAGAATATTAGAAATGGGTTAGAACAATATGTAAGAGCTAGCCAATAAGAAACTGGACCTAGCCGGGCCAGGCAGTGTTTGAAAGAATACGGTTTCCGTGTAATTATTTCTGGGTATAAACTAGCCATGCGGGCGGCCAGGTGCCGGGGACTCAGCCCTGCCGCTCCTATTTCAACATTTTCCAGTCAGGACTTGATCATAATTCTAAATTTTCTTTAGGTCCCTATAAGATTATCAGTGCCCCCAATCAGCAGGAAGTAGCCTGGAAAACTTCACTCACGTTCCTATTCCTCATTCTTGCAGAGGACTGTGATCTGTGATCTACCTCTAAATAAATAACCCTTTATTATACTCAATTCTGAGCTAGTGTGGGATCATTTTTGAGCATCCATCTTAAATATAATTTATTTATGAAAAATGAATGTATGAAAGAGGCATGGTCAGTTGTTCCTGTTTCCCGTAATCCAGGTTCTGTCATCCCCTCAGGCCTGTGGAAGCCCTCAGAGAAGGAGCTGAGTGAGGATAAGGCAGGCTGGTGTGGCTGGCTTCCACATTGTCTTTCCCATGTTTTATGAAAGAGCATCTCACTATATAGCTTTTGCTGGCCTGAAACTCACTATGTAGACCGAGTAGGCCTTGAACTTAGAGACCTTTGACTCTGCCACGTGAGCACAGGGGTTAAAGGTAACAATTAGTATATAAACACAAACATATCATTTCAATGTTACATATTATTTGTAAATACAATTTTTTAATTTCAGAGGTAAATTTATAACAGAATATAATTTTGAAATTAATTGAGTCTAACGCCAAACTTCCTCTATATTTATGTACAATCTTTAGTAACTGCAATATGTTCCAAGACTTCACAAAACAGGATCTCTCCCAGCTTGAGGCTACCCAATCAATGCTGGAGACACTTCTGTTAGTGAATATATAATGAAATTATACCAGAAAAGCTGCAGAGTTAACAGAAGTCTTCAACAAAAAGAAAGTTACAAATGATCTTGAAATTAAATGAGAATTTTCATCTACTAGAAATGTTTTTAAAAGAGAAAGACAATGTGGATTAGCTTCAGATACAATTATTTGACTATAATTTTTCAGAAACTTCTGAGAAAAGACCTCTTTGTGCTTGGCAACTTTGCACTGATTCCTGTAACAAGGGACACGTGAATGTGCGATATTCTGTAAATGAAGACTTTGTTAGGGTTACTACTGCTATCATGCAACACCATGACCTAAAAGGCAACTTGGAGAGAAAAGGGTTCCATGTAACAGTTCAGTATCAAAACCAGTGAGGGCAGGAACCTGGAGGCGGATCCAATGCACAGGCCATGGGCAGGTGCTGCTTACTGGCTTGTTCTTCATGCCTCACTCAGCCTGCTTTCTTATGGAACCCAGGACCACCAACTCAGGGAAGACAGCACCCAGAAAGGGCTGCACCTTCCCACATCAATCATTAATTAAGAACATGTTCTACAGGTTTGCGTACAGGCTGATCTTATGGAGGCATTTTCTCAATCAGGGCTCCCTCCTCTCAGATGACTAGAGCCTGTGTCAGGCTGACATAAAACTAATCAGTACAGCAAGATAACATTTCCCATTACTCTGCTACGTATTCTAAATAATGTCAGGAATATTCCTGCAAGCAGGTAAGAACATATTTATAAAAATATATAGTCATGGTTGTTTAGAAACAGACAGTGTCATTTAAACCATGAAGCTCATCAACTCCAACTAGTGAGGAGAACGTCTATAACACCTAGTCAAACAATGAAACAAACTATCATTTAGGCCACAAGGACTTTAGGTTTTATTATGTTCGTTAGGAAGCCAGTGGATAGCGTTAGCAAAAAAGGAATGAAGGGATTCAATTTACCATAGACTGGAGGCTACCAGAGTATAGGCTAGGCAAGCAAGAAAAGGATTGTGACCGAGATCCAGCGAAAGAGACAAAGTGGTGGCTTGAACTTGGGTAAAAGCAATGAAAACAGAAGTGGAAAATTTCAAGAAACATACCAAAAGGAACAGTAGCAAACTGTGGGGGTGGACTGGGTGGGTAAAGGCTTGGCAGGTTTGAAGTAGCAGAGAAAAAAGGGGCCACAATCCTCATAGAAGAATTTTACACACACATGCCTACGTGTGTGCACACCCCCCCCCCCCAAGCCTCTCTGCCTAGGGTTTCAGTTCACTAGAGTCTGATTTTCTCATTCAACTTAATCTGAAAATATTAACTGGAAAATTTCAGAAAGAAACACTTCATACAATTTAAATAACTTATTGTAGAATATTATAACTATTCTATTTACTATTGGTTATCACTTACTGTACCTAATTTATGGATTAAAAACTTACAGGAATGTATGTCTCTAAAACCACAGTATATACCAGGTTTAGTCATGATTTAGAACGTAAGATTGAATTCCCTGTTATGTCCTGTATATTGTGAACTGACATGTAGCATGTTCTGGCCAAAGGAGGGTTTGCCTATCAGCAAATTTCAGGATACACATTGATGCAAATAATGTCTTTATCCAGGGCTTTAAAAGCACACTCCCAGCTTTATAGTGAAATCTATTTAACTTAAAAAATACTGTTAGCTGGGCAGTGGTAGTGCATGCCTTTAATCCCAGCACTCGGGAAGCAAAGGCAGGCTGACCTCTGAGTTTGAGTTCCAGGACAGGCTCCAAAAACTGCAGAGAAACCCTGCCTCAAAAAACAAAACATTTAAATTTTATGTATAAACATAGTAACATATGCTTACCTCAAGCATTCAGCATCATGTTGAGGCTTTTCTTTGACTTTTAATTTTTCTGCCTCTAAGTATTTGGTGGTATTAATGACTTCAGTCTCTTCATCTTTAAGAACTAAACAATTAAGAAAATTTCTATAATCATTTAAGAATTGAACAAAAAGTTATCTTTAGTCATTCATGAAAAACTTTATTTTTTGTGTTGTATGTATATCAAATACATATAAAAATAATTTTTATTTTCTAATTTGACATAGCAATTTAGATCATGACTATCAGCACTCCAGGCCTGGTGGTGCAGGTCTGCACTCACAGCTATTCAAGAGGCTAAGGCAGGAGAGCTGCAAGTTCAAGACAAGATGGCATTGAAGGTTACAGCTCAGGGGTAGAGTGCATGTGTGGCCTGTGTCAGGCCTACACTCAATCCCCATAACTCAGACAAATTACAGCTGTGACACTAACTAATTCAGTTGTGTGTTTTATACACTACATCTGTAGGACAGCAGAAGCACCAACCAGCAGGACAAGGAGTCTTTAAATACCAGCCCATCACAGTCCTATGCATAGCACTGTATTTGATAGCAGGATAAATGGACTCATGCAGCTTATACCTTTAAGGTTTTTCTGGACAGTAAATAATTCTTGTAACAGTTGACGCTTTTGTTTTTGAAGTTCCTGTAACTGGCCACTGTTCCATTCCATTGACTTCATTTCTATAAACAAATTATCATCAAAAAGTTACCCAGGAATAAATTTAATCAAAGAGGCTAACAATCTATACACTGAAAACCATCACTGATGAGAGAAAATAAAGGCACGACTAAACAGAAACAGCCTTATTCATCAATCAGAATCAATACTTTTAAACTACCCAAATTCCCCTGGGCAATATACACGTGCTATGCCACCCCAACAAAATCTCTAACAGCATTATTCCCTGAAATAGAAAATACAAAACTGAAAAATAAGAAACAAGTGGAAGAAGCATTCAGGTTTTGGTGTAATTAAATATGGCATCAATGATTAACCTTTTGTCCTTCAATAAAATTCTAGGTAGCATATGGTCAATTTAAAGTCCCAACTGGATTCTCTTGATCACCTAAGGAACTGTCTTTAGTAAACTAACCAGCATATATTAATCACCAGTATGATAGGTTAGTTAGGCTAACAAAAGGGGATACAGAAATATTCCATTACCATCAGATAAAAGAAAAACTTCACAACTTCCCAAAATAATAAGAAAGTCCACTTTGAAACTGAAACTGATCCAGGATCACCTCCACACAGTGCCAGGACATGACTGCAGTTCCCCAGAGCCACTCAAGATTCCTCCACCTAAAGCCCAACCTCCCAACTTTAATTTTCCCAAACGACACTAATTGTCCTTAAGACAAGTCTCCTAATATTTTAAGTATTTTTTTCCTCTTCTGCCATAGATTTTGGACTCCAATCCCATATTCTGTAGGTCTCTGAGATTTTTAAAGTCTTATTTCCCCTCTATGTATCTGCACTCTCTGGTTGGCTGTTTGTGGCTGAAATAATAAAAACCCAGAGACAGATATTGGGGTTCATCCTGAATATCAGAAAAAGCAGTCAGTCACTAGAGAGCTCTTGCCTTTTTGAAATCTTCAGACTGAAAGAAGGCGAGTTCCTGTCTCATCTCGCCTTATATTCCTCTCTAGTGCTGGGATGAAAGGCATGCATCACTGCCCAGCCTCTATAGCTAACTAGTGTGGCTGCTGGGATTAAAGGTGTGTGCCACCGCTACCTGGTCTGTATGACTGATTAATTAGTGTGGCTATTTTGTCTTTAATATTCAGGCAAGCTTTATTAAAATACAAATGAAATATCACTACAGGCTGTTAATATCTTTAGGGAATTATCATCAGATACTGTATTTTTAACCCCCTAGTGTTGTTTCCATAAAACATCTTTATTTAAATATAACTCAATACAGTATAATTGACCCTTTAATGCACACAATTCAGTAGGTTTATCATACAGGCTCCAAATCTGTTACCATCCCATGTTGGACCACTCCACTTCTGTTAGCATACACTGCCTAGTTTCCCCAGATCCTCTTTCTCCTAGGCAATAACTGTTGCACTTTCTGTTTGTACAGATTTGCCTATCTGTACAAATGAAGAAGAATCACAATATGCATAATTCTGTGTCTGGGTTATTTCACACAAAGCAATAATTTTAAGGTATATGTTGCACCATGTACCTGTGTGTTGCAGAATATTTGTATACTGTGTGAAAATGTGTTTCTGTGATTGGTGTAATAAAAAAACTAAATGACTAATAGCTAGGCAGGAGGTATAGATGAGTCTTTCAGGCAAAGAGAGAGGAAGTAAGAGGGATGAATGTAGGCTCATGGGAGATGCAAAGAGATGCAGAACAAGCTAGATGTGTAGAGAGGTAACAGCTGCCAAACAGATGAATAAAAATTGGTTAATTTTTAAGAGCTAGTTAAAAACAAGCCTAAGCCAAGGCCAAGCTTTCACAATTAATAATACGTTTTCATGTCATTACTGGGGAGGGACAGAAAAAGACTCATTACATTTGGCATTCCAAAACAAGGCACAACCACATGAACAGATAAGTCACGCCAGCCAGCACCACTACAGTGCAACCTGGGCCTCTTAACATGGGAACAGCTATGAGACTGGATGAGACATGATAAGTCATGTTGGTTACAGAGTCCTCATGACTTATTATTACATGTCATCCTTTCATATGGATGGATAGAGATTTATATTACAGTTCGGTTATGCAGTACAAATGGACTTATAAAGTTGAAAGATGCCTTTCATCTGCTCAAACAAAACCAATCATCTTTAACTGATTTGTGCACAGTGCACATTCCATACTTGTGTTAGTGCAGATACACATCTTAAAAGCTTGCGTGTTTTCAGAAAGAAAAAAAAAGACCAAAAACCAATTAAGATGAGCAGCCCAGGTGATTCAGCCTCTCAGAATGCCTCTGCTGCATTTCCTCAAAATTCTGCATCCAGAACAACTTCAAAGCTGCGAGCTGAGATGGTCCAGCCTCACAGACTATCTAAACGAGACTTCAGATAAGCTCTATACTTTTCCATAATACGGAGACTAAACAAAAATAATAAAGCTAGCTCTCCTAGGACTTGACAATTATCCCAATTTTCTCAGGGTCCACTAAAGATGCTGTCACCGCAGAGAACAGAAAGCAGTCTAGAGAACATGACAAGAGGTGGGGCAGGTGTTTTTTTTTTTGTTTTGTCATTAAATGGTTTATAGATGTTTATCATCATTTAGGGAGGATAGGCTGCAAGTTGTCGGTGGTCATAGTCAAGAAAAAGACAAGAAAATGAAAATTAGATTTAGGGATCTCTTTCTAAAGGTAAAAATGATGGGATAAATGTATAGATTATCGAGTCTACTTTTGAACTAAAAACAACTACTAGTCTCAAAAAATTTACATTGGTATGAATTTTTATATAATGATAAAATTTAAGGTCATTTTTATTAGAAAATATTCCATACATGTTTCTACTCTTTTTAAAGATATATATATGTATATATACATATATACACACACAAATATATGTTTTTATTTTGTTTAAGGTACTGTATCTTTGCTCATTTAAAAATGTAATGTAAATTTCTAGTCCTTGAAAGTTATTATTACAAACTACTTAGGATAATTAATAAATATAGATTAGTACTTAGTCATATAATAATCAAATTTGTGGTCATGTTAGGTATGTTTTCAAGGTCAAGCAGAGATATATTTTAAATAAACAGGATCTTCAAACATTTCAGAGACTTACATAATATGGTATTTAAGATATTTTAATAACACAAGGCTTTTCATGAGAGTAAGACATGTCTGCTCCTGGCAGTACCAATTTACTTCATATAAGAATGATGGGAACTGAAGAAAACTCCATATGCAGTTTGCTTTTATTGTGGCAAAGACATCCATTTGGGCAAGAAATGGCTCTTGCCTCAACTGCTGACTATATGCTGTCCAAAGTGGACAAGCAGGACACAAAAGAAGGCAACAGCTGAACTTCACCAAGACAAGGTAGGACAGTCCTTCAAAATTCCTGTTTCACAAAGTCTGTCAGATATTCTAGGCCTGTAGGTCAAAGATGGATGCCCCAATATTACAGAGGAACCTTGGACAACTGTCCAGACAGCCAGATATCTTTGTCATTTCTATAGTTTTTGAAGTTGCTTGCTTTGTACTTTCTGTTTACTCAGGTATTATATCCTTTTCGGCTCTTTGATGGGTGTTGAAGACTAGACCAATTTTCTTGCTACCAAATTCAAAACAAAATTTACAAAAGAGATGTGAAATTTATAAAGGCTGAGAGATGTAAAAGCCTAAGCAGTTTATCTAAGAAAGTATTTTGAGTTCTAAAAGGATAGTTTTAGGTTGGTAATTTAAATTATGATAACAAATGGTTTATGTAAAAAACTGTGGATTCAATAAGATATAATAGATAATACAGTACTGTCTGTGATTTTTCAAAATACATATGGACTACACATTGTAATTGTAATTCTTGCTTGATAATTGTTTTTAATGTATATAATTTTACTATACTAGTTAGTTAGATACTATACTAACTTCTCTTTTTATTTAGACAGAAATGAGGAAATATTGCAGAATATTTGTACACTGTGTGAAGATGTGTTTCTAATTGGTCTAATAAAAATCTAGATGGAGAATAACTAGGCAGGAGGTATAGGTGGGACTTTTGGGCAGAAAGCGGGGAAGTCAGAGAAATGAATCTAGGCTTGCAGGAGATGCGAGGAAAAGCATAACAAATGGGGTGTGCAGGAGGAGAGGCAGCAGCCACAAGCCACATGGCAGAATGTAGAATACTATAAAAAGGGCTGTTCTGCCATCAACGAGGTGGTGACCCGAGAATACACCATCAACATTCACAATCGCATCCATGGCGTGGGCTTTAAGAAGCGTGCTCCTAGGGCACTCAAAGAAATCTGGAAATTTGCCATGAAGGAGATGGGGACTCCACATGTGCGGATTGATACCAGGCTCAATAAAGCCATCTGGGCCAAAGGAATAAGGAATGTTCCATATTGTATCCGAGTACATTTGTCCAGAAAACATAATGAGGATGAGGACTCACCAAACAAACTCTACACATTGGTAACTTACATGCCTGTTACCACATTCAAAAATCTATAGACAGTCAATGTGTATGAAAACTAACCTACTGAATCTCAAATAAAGTTGGAGAACAGCCTTCAAAAAAAATGGGTTCCATAATAAGAGTTAGTTAAAAACAAGCCTAAGTTAAGGCCAAGATTTCAAAATAAATCTCCATGTCATTATTCTGAGAGCTGGCAGGTGGGACAGAGAAAGTTATGCCTATGTTTTATTCTTTTTCTTTAAAGGAGCCCACCAGATTCTATCATATAGATACACATTTGGCATTCAGCAGCTAATATACTTTAGGGTTGCTTATATTTATCTTTGTATCCCTGCCAGCTCTACCACTGGTCCTTTACAGCCACACTTGTGCTATTTTGTTGCAGTTTTGATTTGATCTTCCCTGATGTAGAGTTTCATTTGGCCATTCCTCTATATCGTGTGGCATACTTGCATAAATACTTTGCCCATTTATAATTGGGTTATCTTTTCCATATTTGTAAGGGTTGTCATATTCTGGCTACCAAACTTACCAGATATATGATT